CGGAGGTTGCTCTCGACGTCCTTGAGGGCAGACTCAAGAACGCCGATAGTGAGCTCGCTAGGGTGCTTCAGAAGAAGCGCATCACGAACCAAGGCAAGGCCGCCAGGGAGGCTAGTGGCAATGAAATAGATAGTAATCGCCATGGGGGGGGGGGGGGGGGAGTAGCGCAAGGTGTGCGTTAGCGCAGGCACTGCGGTAGCTAGAATCCAGTGAACGCAGGTAAGCGATCAAGCCAGCAGGATGGGGAGGAATAGGCGACTAAGAGAGACAGTGGTGGGAGTAGCGTAGCGGGCCTTGATCGTAGTCAGGAACTCACTAGGCGTGCGAACCTGGGTGAAGTGGGTCTCCTCATACTCAGGGAGGAGGTGTCAGAATATTATCTTATTGTTCTAGCCTGTAGTGGGGTGCTCTATAGCGAGTACAACCCTTCTAGGGTTTGCTATTTGTATCCTCATTCTTGCTAGTTCAATCCTCTTTCTTCCTTCTAATTTTGTCAGGAGGCTGCTGAGGGCAATGCAGGTCGAAGCGTCGCGCGACTTCCACGCAGTCAGGGCAGCACGCTGACATGCAAAATGATCTCTGTTCTAAGTGGTGGGGTCAAAGCCTAAGGGTCCAGGATCGGGGGGGCGCACGAAGGTCACTGGAACCGTGCGCCTACAGGGACTCGTCTGCCTAAACCTGACTCTCTAGGAGACGATGCGCACACAGGAGCCAGACAGAGAACTCGAGCGACCTACCCTCGCCGTCAAAGCGGAAAACTCTAGGAGTCGCCATAGCGGAAGCGTGAAGAAACTACATGTGGAAATTGTCAGAGGTCCACTGGTGATCCCCGATTGATCGTAGGGAAGGGTTACAGGCACGTTGGCCTGGGGGGTTATGTGTGCACTCACCCGCTACACAAACAAGCCCTTTTATCCCAGTGGTTAGTGGCTGGGATTCTGACAAAAATCGCCTAGAAGGCCGGTGTAGGGCGCTGCAAGCAGGGCGCTATGTGGCGAGAAAGGAAGGACGTGACGAGACGGGCAGGCGCGGCGCGACCGGACAGGCAGGCGCAACAGGCACGTAGGGAGGGGACGGAACAGGCGCGACAGGCAGGCAGGCGCGATGCGACGAGACGGGACGGGCAGGCGCGACGCGACGGGACGGGATGGGCAGGCGCGACGCAACGGGACGGGCAGGCGCGACGCGACAAGACGGGACAGACGGGCGCGACGCGACTGACAGGAACAATGCAACGGTATGAGACGGGCAGGCGCGACGCGACGCGACGGGATAGACGGGCGCAACGCGATGCGACATGATAGACGGACGCGACGGGCACTAGGGAACGAGACGGACTGGCGCGATAGGCGCTAGGGGACGGTACGGGCGCAACGGACGCTAGGGTACGGGACGGGCTCGACGGTAGGGCTCTATGGCATTAGGGGGAGGAACGGGATCTCACAGGATCCTAAGCTAGGTGATACCATGTCAAAACCGAATGATGATTTACTGTTGTGGGTTGGAATACATAAACCTAACCCTAACTGCTGTACCTTATATGACACGCATCATTAAAGGCTACAGCATTTGACAAGGGAGACCATGGCCAATCTCGACCGTCGAATCTCGACCGTCGAGGTCAAGGATCCGTCGGTGCCGAAGGAACACTAGTAAATTTCATGGTCGCTGCTGATATAACCGAAGGATCGTAGTGGACAGGATAAGGTAGCCAAGTGTGAAAGAAGAGAACTATAAGTCTCTGTAGTGACCTTGTTAATAAGTTGAGAGAAAACAAGATGAATATACGATGGAAGTACAGGGATATAGATAGCATTCCTAGCTAGCCATGTTCTCTGAGGGGTACATTCCCTTATTTAACTGAATTGCATTGCTATAGTAACCCACGACTATTGCCATTCTAGACAGTTACCACGTTCCACTTCGTAACTGCCTCGTGCGGTTTCTGGGCAGTCAAGGGTCACGACTGTTGACTGTCTTCGACCGTTGACCTTCGGGTGACCTTCGGACTTCCGTGTGCTCTATGTGAGTTATTGCGGTACTAGTACAGGCGTACACTTCGTTATGGAGTGACACGAGAGTGGGGAACCTTCGGGAATGTTTTATAATTACCTTTCGGTTATTCCAACAGTCGCTATGAGCAAATACTCGTTCTCCTGGCCGATAGTGCAATCTTAGTTCACTCACTTGATTGCACTCATAACAACGTCACTCATATACGCAGAAGAATAATTTATATCATCATGCAGGTGATTGTTTACTGTAATGAAGATAGCTATTATTACTGAGTCTGCTCCTAGGGCTTACATCACCGAGCACTTCGCGTCAGTTTTCGGTTCGGCCTGCACTTTGGCCCGAACCACTACCAAGTCGCCTCAAACCAATCCCGACATTCCCAAACCACGCACGTCCTGAGGTCCTCGCCTAGCACGGTTCTCAACCCTATAAATGAGGTCCTCGCCTGCTTGTTCCTTTATTCTATTCTTCATTCTGTAATTCATCATTTTTATTAAGTCTTTTGCGCACTCTGTTTAGTACAACTTATAACATTTACGAAGTTCGGTTGCGGCATCAAATTCGAACGTCTCACTCAACTGATCTGTTGAAACCACCTGATTCTGCGACAAGCACCTGACTGTGCTATACGACCTTGGAAGACGACAACGAAATCCGATAACCTATCATGCTAACAGCACTTCGATAATTGTGCAACCCTTCGCTTCGATTACATTGTGCCAACTACAACCGTCGTCCAAGCACATTTGCGAAGTTTGATGCTGTGGTTTCGTCGGGGCGATTCTCGCCGAAGACGCTGTCGTATGTCCTAATTCCTCCAGCAGAACCAGCCAGCCAGCAATTCTTCCCCCCAATTCCCTTTCATCATGGAGATCCACCTGTGTTCACGAGAAGGACCACGCAGAGGGGCAACTGGTGAAGTGACCCCACCCACCCCACCGCCACCACTCCCATCCATTCTTCCAATTCCCCTCAGCTGCCTACCCGCACCGCACTGTACTGTACTGCTTGCAGCCATCTTGAACATTCGCCTGCGGCTTGGCTTTCACCACAGTGCACCCAGACAGGAACAACAACCAAACCATGCACACCTCCACAGCACCTTGTTACGCTGTACAGTATCGTACCATTCCCTGCAAAGAAGCATGTTCCTTCTTCCCCTCCTGCTCGTACCTCCATGCAATGGTCTTTTGTCGCAAAACCGTACACCACACCACCCAACCCGACACAACACAAGAACATCCCATGCTCATCCCATCCGCAAGAAGAGCGCCGCATTATCTAACAACCAACCACCAAGCGTACCACATGAGAGGAACCCTACTTGAACTCGAGTCAAGCCCAGTTGCCCGGTTTCTCAGCTCGTCGTTAATCTCTACCACAGTCGCCGCTAGCCAACTAGACATAGCGGTCTAACTTGCTAGCCGCGTGTTCCATTTGGTGCTCAAAGTACACTTAGTAGATTCCTTGTGCACTTCATTCCATTCCTCCAACCCTCTCCACCCGTGCTTACCTCGACGTCTCACCTCATCGTTCACACCCATCTTGGTAGTAGTCCTGATAAATCTCTTGCTCCTAGCTTTTAGCAGCTCCTCATCAATCGTACCCGTGCTTAATACTTCATGTTTATAAGCGTCCTCGCGCGTGTTCCATTTTGCTCCTGATTATATATCTCGGGCGGTGCTCGTCGTAGATCACAGCACATCACCCCTACTCGACGTCTCTTCGGCGCGCGCCGAGCTAGACGATGGGCCCTCCGTGGTTTGCGCGCACTTGCCTGCTGCTCGTGCTCCTCTCCCTCACCCGCGCAGGTTCGTCGCTTCCCCCCACCCGCACCCCCACCCACCCCTTCTCACTCCTCACTCTCTTTCCTCCGGAAATCATCACCAAATCCCTGTCCTCATCCTTCGAGCAAGGCCCGTCAACACATCGAAAAGCGCATTTCACGGCCGTGTGGGTAACCGGCCGTTTTGTTCTGAAGGCGTCACGTCGGAGTCGCGACGAGGGGAATTTTCGTGGTTCGGGGCGCTCGTCGAGGGTCTACAGGGTAGTCGCTGCTGCTCGTCGCACTGTTCAGCACGTAATCGCAACGATCACTCCGCGAAGACCACGCTGGTTACCCTGTCATCAATTGCTTGCAGACGTTATGGTTCTCCGTAGATTCGGCGTGTTCTCTAGTTCACCCGGTGGGCTAGCGCTCGTCTATAGCCAGGGAGACGGAGAGCGCAGGCAGGCGGTGCGCGAGGCAGGCAATGCACGCGGAGGAACGAGTTCGTAGTCGGGTACGGGTTACGAATCGGTGGCGAGTCTGCGAACACGAGGCGCCTTTCAGTGGTAGGTTTTGCGGCGCTGCCAGGGGTGACACTGTCCTTCAGCAACAGGCGACGTGACACGCAGACGGGGCGATTGGTGCTGGAGAGCCTTGTTGGAGGGGAGGCGAGTCTTACATAGCTCGTAGCCCGTAGTCAATGCACTGTGGGGTAGTGGTGGAGGGACTCGTCGTAGTTACCCGCTTCCCCTCCTCCTTCCCCCTCGCCGCTCGTCGTCCTTTTCGGATTCTCTTCCGAGATCCGTCGCGCCACCATCGCCGGACGGATGCGACGAGAGGACTAGAGCGTGCTCGCTAGTTCACAGACCAAGCAGCCAGATCTAAACAATAGACGAGGCTCAACCGCTTTCCACGTCGTCCACACTTTTCCGGCCTCCGTCCCTCCTCTCCCTGCGCCCGCCTGTTCCCTCCCTTGCCTCGTCTCGTATTTCCGCCCCCGTTTCTTCCCCCCCACCCCTTCCCTTTTTCCCACGGCCCTTCTCTCTCGCTCTCTCATCTCTGTGCCCTTTCTTCTCTTCCTCCAGACCTGGATGGTCGTGGGTTATTCAACATTTGTATCCTCACGCTTGCATTCGCTTTTCCTTCGCTTTTTCGCCTTTTTCCTCCTTGCCTGCCTCCACCAGACAATGACGGCCGGAAACTCTACGTCGTCAGAATGAACGACGCGCCGCCGGTTCTCTCCTACGAGGGCGGCATCGCCGGCTTCGACGCGACCGCGCCGCCGCCAATCGCGGAGGCCACGCAGGCACTCGCCAAGTCGCTGATGGGCGCCGCGAGCGGGATGATGAGCGGATTGTCGCGCAACGGGCTGCTGAGAAAGCTGCGAAACCGCGTGCGATTCAACGCGCGGTCGCCGCTGGTGAAGAATTTCGTGAGCTTTCTCAAGAAGCGACACAAGCGCGCCGTGCAAAAGGCGGATATCAGCTCATCGCAGATCATGCACAGGTGAGCCTGCTGCGCGCCGATAACTCCCTGCTGCGCGCCGATAGCTCCCTGCTGCGCGCCGATAGCTCCCTGCTGCGCGCCGATAGTTCTCAGCAGGTGACGGCAGGCGGCAGATGACAGACGCGGGCGTCGCCAATCGTGCTTCGGTGAGGCGTGCCGTCCGCGCAGGTGAAGCAGACGGCCTGGCGCAGGTGACGGATGACAGGCGCGAAAAGGAGGGAAGGGCATGACAAGAAACGGCATGACCGGAAGGTTTTTGGGGACGCGGGGACGGAGTCGATACACAAGTAGCATGGGGACGAAGCGCATGCTCTTTCTTTCCCCGAGTAAGATCCCTCTTTCCCTTCCCCCATTTCTCTTCCCCCCCTCCGTCCATCTCTTCCTTCCCCCCCCCTCTCCAATTCTCCCCCTCCCCTCGGTCCGTGCCTGGCGTGCCGCGCCAACAGCTACACGTACGTCACCAACTCGTTCACCGCGCGCCTATCGCCGTCCGAGGTCGAGCGCCTCCAGAGCGATCCGACGGTGGAGGACATTCGGCGGCCCGGCTTAGTGACGGGGTTCACGAGCAGCGCCATGGATTTCCTCAACATGCCAGGTGGCACGTGGCCATTCCTCGGCGGCCCGGAGCACGCGGGCGAGGGAATCGTGATCGGCGTCATTGACACGGGCATCTGGCCGGAGCATCCCTCGTTTGCTGACGTAAGCACCTTCGTCGTGCTGACGTAGGAGTTAGTCGTGTAACAACGTACGCCTTGTCTCCTATAGTCGTTCCTTGAATCCTGTGCCTCAGATTCTTCAGCTGAGTTCTCGGTTCTAGCCCAGCTAGTCTGGCTGTCACTCAGCTCTTTGCTTACCTGTTCCCGGCAAGTGCCCCTTTTCCATATTGCCACGCCGGATGCTCTTTTTTGTGTGTGTGTATTTGATAATGATTGAATTTCAGGATCCCGTGAATCCTTACGGAGCGCCACCAAAGACGTGGAAGGGCGGGTGCAACGCGACGGACGACTTCCCGCCGTGCAATTCGAAGCTCATCGGCGCGCAGTGGTATGTCGACGGGCTGCTGAACGAACAAGATCCAGAAGACGTGAATTCGCAAATCGATTGGATGAACGAGTTCCAGTCGCCTCGCGACGCTACTGGCCACGGCACCTGGTGTGCGGGGTGAGTTTCCCCTCGCACCCCCCCCCCCCCCCCCCCCCCCCCCTCGTTTCCAACTTGCTGAGTCGCCCTTGTTTATAAAGACTCCCCCTTCCTCTCCCGCACCTCCTTTCCCCCACCCCTCCTCCACAACCCCCTTGTTTGTTTGTTTGTTTGTTTGTTTGTTTTTTTTTTTTTCAGATGCTCTATTCATGTTCTTTTGTCTAATTACAGCCCCCTTACCTTCGCCATTTCCTGCTCCTCTCCCTGCTCCTCTCTCCCTCGCAACAGAGCCGCAGCGGGCAACAGGAACGTCCCCATCATGCGTGGCAGCCAGTCATTGGGCAACGCGACGGGTGCGGCGCCTCGTGCACACCTGGCGATGTACAAGGCGCTCTGGAACACCCCCAACGGCGCGCTTGGCTCGTGGGCCGACGTGCTCGCAGCCGTTGATCGCGCCGTGGCGGACGGTGTGGATATCCTGAGCCTCTCAATTGGCGCACTTCCTGAGTCTTACTTTGATGAAGTACCGCTGCTCAATGCTGCCAGGGTAAATCACCCTCTTAAATCCATGCACATTGCGGGTGTAGACACCCGGATTCGTACGTCAATAAAGTGCCACGGCTGACTGCTGCCAATGTCCGCGAATTATCTTGACCCTCATTCTGCCATTCCTCTCAGCAGCCACTGTCCAACTGTTCTCGTCTTTGCCCTTCCTCAACCCTCAACGTTTCCCCTATCCTCCCCTCCGCTGCCCACCCTTTCCCCCCCGACGCCTCTTCTGTCGCCAGGCGGGTGTGTTTGTGGTGCAAGCAGCGGGCAACAACGGCAAGCCGCCGCCCTACGCGCTCACGCCCGCCCTCATCTCCGTCTCGCCCTTCGCCCTCACCGTCGGCGCCAGCACTATCAGCCGAACGTTCCCGCCCCTGGCCCGCCTCACCTTCGAGAAGAAGAGCCTGTATGTGGACGGCGGGACGTGGCGGGGCGGCGACGACAGCACGAAGAACAAGGAGATTGTGCTGGGCGTGGACGTCAAGAGGCCCGGGGCGGCCAACAGCGAAGTCAGTTACACAAATCTCTGCCTGGCCTTTCCTCCTTTTCCATTGGCTTTTCTGTCTCCTTTTGCATAGAATCACGTCTGGCACCAGTTTTGCCTTTTCCACCCATGCAGTAGTAGTTCGGTTCAAAGGCACCCCCTCATCCCACTCCCTTGCCTTCCGCACAACCTCCCCCTTCCCCGTCCTTCTCCCCCACTCACTTTCTTTCCACATGCCTATGCCCTCCCACCCCCCTTCTCCGTCCACCCCACCAGGCGGAGCAATGCATCTCGGGATCACTGGCAGGGTGGCTGGTGCAGGGCAGGATGGTGCTCTGCGTGTCCGGAGGCAACACAGCCGACGACAAGGCGTCCGTCGTGGCGGCTTCAGGCGGAGCGGCCATGCTGCTCGCGCCATCGTCCCCGTCGGCAACTCCCGAGACCATCAACTTTGACTTCCCAGCCATCTCCATGACCTACACAGACGCCTTCAGTTTACGCCAGCTCATCAAGGCCAACGCCCCCGCCACGTGAGTACACACGGGTTGTGCAATGCTGGGTTTAGGGTTTAGGTGTGTCATGCTGCTGGCCCCGTCATCCCCCTCTGGGGATCCTGTCATCGCCATGACCTACACGGACGCATTCAGCATCCGCCAGCTCCTCAAGGCCAACGCACCCATTGCGTGAGTGCACGGGGTGCAATGCTGGGTGCTTATTCGCAAGCTGCCATGCTGGTTGCGCCATGCAAGAGCGGTTGTAACCTGCAAGGCTACCTTCCACTAGACAGTCTGCACGCAGCTCTTCAGAGCAAACTGCGCCTGTGTGCCACACGTCCCCTCATCTAACCCCGTTTCCTCCCCTCCATGCCACTCCCTTCCCATCCCGCAGAACCGTCGGCTCGCTCTCCCCGCTCTTCTGGGACACCAGCGACGAGGCCCCCAAGGTGGCAACCATTTCCTCCTCGGGCCCGCTCGTCAACCCGCTGCAGCCCGCCGGCCTCTCCAACTTCACCAACGACATTCTCAAGCCCGACATCGTCGCTCCCGGCGTCATGCTTTTCGCCGCCGCGCCGTCGCCCCAAGGCGAGGTGTCGTTCGGCATTCTCACCGGAACCTCCATGGCTACTCCGATTGTCGCTGGTGTTGCTGCGCTTGTCATGCAGAAGAACCCGACTCTGAGTCCCGCGGCGGTTAAATCTGCCATCATGACATCGGCTTCGCAACAGAATAATGTCGGGAGCCCCATTCAGAACCAGGACAGGATTGAAGGCCAGGACAGGAATGATGCCACGCCGTTTAATTTCGGTTCTGGGCAGATAAACCCGTCTGCAGCTATCGACCCGGGGCTGATTTTCGACATCACCTATAACGAGTACATTGCATTCTTATACGGGGTCAACAGTAAGGAGGCACGCGCGCAGAGCCTGAGTGTCTTATCCACAAAACCCGCCCCAAAGCCCAAGGGCGCCACCTCTGCATCGGCAGTCAAAATTCAGGCGCCACCGCCAATCCCTGCGTACCAGCTCAACCTCCCGAACATTGTCGTTTCACGGCTAAAGAAAACGGTCACTGTAGTTCGGCGCGTGGTGAACGTGAGCGGGAAGCGCAGCAAGTACACTCTCATCCTTGAGCCTCCAGCGAATGTGAAAGTTGTGGTGCGACCCACCACCTTCACGCTGCCCAATAAGGGCTCGCAATCGATTACCATCACAATCACCCCCGTCAAAAAATCGTCGGATTACTCGTTTGGAAGGATGACGTGGAGCGACGCTGATGGTCACGTTGTTTCATCGGTTATTGGAGTTCAGCCGTACTAAGCCATGACATCGTCCACTTCGGTTGGGTGAGGTTGGGTGTGGCAATGTTCGGTGTAATGATTCGTATACTGAAATCCGGTACTGATGTGGTGTGGTGTCGTGTGGTGTGGTGTTCTCGCTTCTGGGGGTGTCTGATGTGAGGCAGCTGAATGGTGGTTTGATTGAATGAGGTCACCACGAGAAACAGCTGACCTGATTCGCTTGCTTGCACTCATGGCTTGATCTCATCTATTATTTCATTTCCCCCCTTCAATGGTAGGTACGGTATGTCTGTATAATAGTGTTGCTTATGTGGTACTGGTATGTGTTTGTGGTTGTGGATTCTCTTTATGCAATAACAAATGCTGTCTGACAGAGTCTGGACTAGTGAGCTTACCATCTTGCTCCCAAAGCAGGGTGCTTTACAGCCATGTGCTGAAAACCAAGGTGCAAGTTGAAGTTTACGGTAGGAACAAAATCCCTGGCAGCACTACTCTCATCTCTCAATCCGAGGTTGTTTAGGTGCAATGCAGTTAATATTTGACAAGAGTGGCAAATTCCTATACAGCACCTCAGGTGCGGATGCTACTGTACATGCAGGGTAATTAAAGCCAGCAGCTGTTGGGTCCACTTGAAAAATGAAAAATTTCTAAGCGTTTATCGCTTTCAAATTTGCGTATTGTGAAAGCGAAGCTGACTGTAATGCAATTTTGTGCATCGTCGAAGCGCGGTATTCGCCTTCTCCGAATATATAATGTGGGCTGGGGTCATTCTTCCCCCACCCACGTCTCTCATTTTACAATCGCTCAAGTTCAATTCCCAGTTCCGAGACCCATCCCGATTTTTTCGGAGGCTCCAACTCCCTCCCGATTTTTTCGGACCTCAACCTGGCGAGGGTGAAAACCCTTTCACGTTTTCAAGCACCATCTACCCTGCTATCGGATATTCTTAACTACAATCAAGCTTCGATGGCGCCGAGCGACAACGCCCCGAACCGTTCGGACAACGAGAAGAATACCCGTGAAATTACGGGAGATCGCCGCAACAAGCGGCGGGCGGACGACGAGGGTAACGCGCCCACTGGTGTCGACCTTTTGACGCGCAGTGGCGAAGTCAACAAAACCGCCAACCAGCAGCACCCCTCGGCACCTGTGGCGCCAGTGGCGCCAGTGGCGCAAGTGGCGACGGCGGCACCTGCAGCACCTGTGGCGCCACACGCGCCCGACGCCGAGCACGCGCCAGCACCTGTGGCTGGACCGTCGCGTCAGCGCCAGAGGCGCCGAACTGGGTCTTCGTCTGACGCGACGGCTGACCCTGTTTTGACTCCGGCGCTGACTGCTGACCAAGTCCAAGCGCTTTTGGCGCTGTTACAGCAGCAGCCACCGGCGGTTACGGCAACAGCGACAACAATTTCTGCATCTGCTAAAAACGCAAATGCAAGAAACGATTTGGCGCGTCACGCTCGCGCACACGAAGTCCCTCGCGCCGTAAGGGAAAATGCTGCTACTGCGGTGCCCAACAACAACAACGACGGCAGCGACTCAGAAGACGAAGCGGGTGAGGCTCATGCACACAACAACTTTCTTGCACCCGTTGAGCACCTTCCTCCACTCCCATCCACCAATCCCACCATTCCCGCCTCCTCATTTCACCACGCCGGAGTACACGAGCAAGCGGAATTTCTGGAGGACCTGCGCGCGTACCTGAAGCACTCGGAGCACAAGATACGCCACGGCGACACTGCTGGCGCTCTTGAGCACTTCGAAGAGGCGTACGCCCTCATCGCCGATCGCTTCCAACTCCTTCAAGTCGCCGACGCCTCCGACTTCAAGACGGCGCACCGCTTCAAGCTGTACCAGCAGAAAAGTGTGCTGACTTCGCGCCCCTTCAAGCAGGCGCTCGCGGATGTGGCAGCGATGAACCGCGCCCAAGGCTCCTATGGTCGTGGTTCTTCCCTTGGAGGCCGAGGCCCCACGGGGTTTGGTGGCAAATTCGACATGGATCCTGGCTGCAATCCAAAGGGCTTCCGCGGCACCTGTTTCCGCTGTGGCCAGCCAGGCCACACTGCCAACGCATGCCCTGCCGGTGGGCACGGTCCTCACGGACCCGCGCCGGTAGTTTAAACTCGACGGGGCGGCTATTGGCCTTGCCCTTGGGCTGGTTTTTATTGCCGTTTGGCTAGCCCTTAGGGGAAAGACCTTTGGGGTCTAAGGCGTTTGCCTAGAAGCTCTCTAGAGCATCATGAAGTTGATCTCTTCCCGTTTAGTTTTGCTGTGAAAATGTTTCTAAAGGGAATAGACCATTGAGGGTCTAAGGGCGCTTGCATAGAAGTTCTTAATAAGCTCTATGGAGTTGCTCTTTCTAATTATAAATTTTTGTTGTGCATTTTGTTGTGAGAGTGAAGAGAAGCCTTACTAAAGGATCTCCTGGTTGCTCTTCAGTTTTTCTCACGCCACGCCTCAAGGAGGCCTTTTGAGGGAGGCAATTGAAGCCTCGAGAAACTTAATCTCCTAACATTAATATGAAAAACCAAAGGGCAAACAACCTTGCCATGGGCTGACACATAAAAGAAATGGCAGAAGTTGAGAGAGAGAGAGAGAGAGAGAGAGAGAGAGAGAGAGAGAGAGAGAGAGAGAGAGAGAGAGAGAGAGAGAGAGAGAGAGAGAGAGAGAGAGAGAGACAGAGAGAGAGAGAGAGAGAGAGAGAGAGAGAGAGAGAGAGAGAGAGAGAGAGAGAGAGAGAAAGAGAGAAAGAGAGGGAGAGGGTGAGAAAGAGAGAGAGGGAGGGTGAGAGAGATAGAGAGAGAGAGAGAGAGAGAGAGAGAGAGAGAGAGAGAGAGAGAGAGAGAGAGAGAGAGAGAGAGAGAGAGAGAGAGAGAAAGAAAGAGAGAAAGAGAGAGAAAGAGAGAGAAAGGGAGAGGGTGAGAAGGTCGAGAAATGGAACCACGGAATGGGGGGAGTGCTAGCCCTGGTCTCGTGCTTACAAGAGGGGTTATCCCACTCGAGCGTCAATGCTTGCTTGGTTAAAAAAAAAAAAAAAAAAAACGCTAACGGTCATGTGTTGCATTTTCGTATACTGCCATGTGCAGGCCTGCCGATGCATGCCTTGGGGCAACCAGACGACCCTTTCGAGTACGCAGTGACGGATAGGACAACTTTCGTCATGCAAGGGCGCTTGCGATCCGCACTGGCTTGGTGGCGAACATGGTGTACGAGCAGTCTTATCTTATCAATTATCGAACGAGGCTACTGGATGCCGTGGAAACAAGGATCGCCACAACCATTTCAGTGCTCCAATCATGCCGGAACCCATGCTCACATGGATTTTACGCGATCAGCCATCATAGACCTTCTTCAAACTGGCGCAGCAATCGAGGTGCCAGCATCGGAGCTTGCATGCATTAGCCCCCTCAACGTCGTCGAGCAGCGAGACAAGTGTCGCCTCATCCTAGATTTACGCAAAGTTAATAACGAGCTGTGCATTCCGAAGTTCAAGTACGAAGGACTATCTCGCGTGGCGGAACTTGCACATCCGGGGGATTGGATGTTTTCAATTGATCTCAAGTCGGGTTACCACCACGTTGACATCCACGCATCCTGTTGGAAATTCTTGGGCTTTCAGTTCGAGGGGCGTTCGTACTGTTTCAGATCACTTCCGTTCGGACTAGCGACAACGCCTTTCGTCTTTACTCAATTGATCAAGCAGTTGGCACGTCGATGGCGAGCAACAGGGGTCCGCGTCATTCCCTACGTAGATGACATCCTCTTTCTGTGCCACACAGAAGGCGCGGCTCGAGATGTCTGCTCCCGCACGATCACGGACCTAAGAGAAGCGGGCCTCGTGATCAACGCCAAAAAGTCTCATCTCCATCCTACTCAGCAGCTAAGATTCCTAGGATTGGAGCTCGATACCCAACGAGGACAGTTTTCTGTCGGCACCGAGCGACGAAGCGTCCTGCAATCCACCATCGCCTCATTATTGGCAGCAGGACGTGCACAGCACAAAGTCCCAGTACGGCAAGTCGCACGCATCACAGGCATGCTCGCCTCCATGACCCTTGCTCTTGGGGCGACAGCGCGAGCATTCAGTCATGCCTTACTACAAACCATCAACGATGCGTCTTCATGGAACAGCAGGTTGTTACTGTCCCCGAGTGCTTGCGAAGAGTTGGAGTTCTGGTCAACCGAGTTCGACCACTTCAATGGAGCCCCATTTCATGTTCGTGGTAGCTACGACGCTATCATTCACGTCGACGCCAGCGCGCACAGCTGAGGGGCCACACTCGACACATTCTCCACGACGACTCATAAGGCCTGCGCGAACATGCCCCCGGAACTACCTGGCACATCCAGTACTCGTCGTGAATTAGAGGGGGTGCTCTGGGCGCTGCAAACTTTCACCAGCTTCATCCAGAACAAGCATGTGCTCGTGCGTGTCGACAACCAGGGCGTATTCTTTATTCTAAAAAAGGGTGGATCACGCAACAGTTTTCTCACTTCCGCATGCAAAGCCATCATCCGCACCTGCATGACTCGTCGCATTCGCTTGATCATGGAATGGATACCTCGCGAGCTTAACACGCTCGCGGACGAGCTCTCGAAGACTCTCGACCGAGATGACTACACCTTGAAGGCCCCATGGTTTAATCTTCTCGAACGACGTTGGGGGCCGCACTCTATAGATCTCTTTGCCAGTGCTGCGAATGCCAAGCTCCCCCGATTCTACTGCAAACACCCACATCCCAAGGCATTAGCGATCAATGCCTTCGCAACATCCTGGGCTGACGAACATGGTTTCGCTTTTCCACCACCACAATTGATCCCGGCAGTCCTTCACCACGCACAAAGGACATCAGCCTCACTGACACTCATCGTCCCCTTCTGGCCCGGGGCTAGTTGGTGGCCACTACTCCAACCCTCGCCACCCGCCTGGGCCTCGCCGATCCGTGATTGCCTGAAACTTACTCACGGAAGCCAATGCCTCGCACCAGGCACGCACACATCAGCATTCTCGGGTTCCGGCCTCCCCCATAGCATGATGATGGCCTTGCGCATCTCCTTCCGTTAACATATTCTGTTTGCGTCCTCTCTTATCGCTTCAGGATTACTCCGCTCGCTGCAGAGCCAATTGCTCACAATGATGCTGCAAACACGTGCGAAATCTACGATCAAGACTTACGAACCATACTGGCAGCAGTTCCGCTCATTCTGCATCAAGACTAAATTACCATTCCTGCCCGCACAAGATATGACACTCGCGCTGTACCTCGTCTACGCCATTCGCCACCAAGCCACCTTCTCAGTGGTGCAACTCACTTGCTCGGCGGTTGGTTTTGCCCACCGTATGATTGGGGCCGCGTGCCCTACCATCGGCCCAATGACATCTCAAGTCCGAGAATTTGCCAAGCGCCACTGCCCTCGGCCCCACCGGACCAAGGAACCAGTGTCTCTTCACCAAGTGCACGCCATGGCCGCACCCTTCATTGGCTCGGACGACCCATCCACCTTTCAAAAAGGACTCATACCGCTTCTCATGTACGCCGGCTTCCTGCGGTATTCGGATCTCGCCGCCATCTGCTGGAACGATATCCAGTTTGAAGACGATGCCATGTGGCTACTCATCCCGCGCTCGAAGACCGACCAAGAGGGGAAGGGCTCATGGGTGCCCATTGCCGCAAGCCAGGGACCCTTCTGCCCCGTTCGATGCACCAAGCACTTCATCCAACTGGCAGGATATGGTCCTACCACACCGGGGCCATTAATCCGAGTGTTTGGTTTGGCCACGAGCGACACACTTCCCGTCAAACCACCATCGTATACCACAATACGCAATTGGTGCAGGGAAGCTTTCCACGCCATCGGCCTCGGCGACCACGCGCTCGGCACCCACTCCTTTCGCAAAGGAGCGGCAACTGTAGCGGCAAACGCAGGAATTGAGGATCGGCTCTTCAAACAGCTAGGTCGATGGCGCAGTGAAGCGGCCAAGGAAATGTATGTCACCCCCACCGCCGACCGTCTGATTGACGCCTCTCGCAACCTCCAATCAACGGCTCATGCGCCATCACCAGCACAACATTCCAGGGCCCTCAAGCGCCGCCGTCACGCCCCCTTGCACATGTCTCAGCGTCACCCATTGTAATGAGAACGATGCCAATTGCTACAGAAGCAAGCTTTCTCAATATGAAAAATTTCTAAGGGTTTATCGCTTTCAAATTTGCGTATTGTGAAAGCGAAGCTGACTGTAATGCAATTTTGTGCATCGTCGAAGCGCGGTATTCGCCTTCTCCGAATATATAATGTGGGCTGGGGTCATTCTTCCCCCACCCACGTCTCTCATTTTACAATCGCTCAAGTTCAATTCCCACCCACCCTCCCCATGCTAGTCATCTTTTGAGAGTAGAAGAATTTCTTAGATATTTTGGATGTGATAGTATATTATTATAATTGCTAGGAACCATTGTACTTGAGCCCATTGTAATGAGAACGATGCCAATTGCTACAGAAGCAAGCTTTCTCAATCTGAAGTTTTTTTGGAGCGTTTCGGAATAACGAAGTGCTGTGCATTTTATTTTTTTCACTCCAGACGAGTCTCGCTGTGAACGGGGAACATTTCGAATAAGTGCATGTCAGAAACTAACAAGCAGGAATAATTGCATTGGCATCAATTTGAGTGCAAGTATAACCCTAATTGGGTTGTACCCCATATAGGCTACCCCATATAGGCTGCCTTTGCGGCCTGCGCGCAGCTCCTGCCGCCGTCCACCTGCTGCCCGCGCGGCCCGAGCACTACCCTGCAGCCCGCGCGCCGCCTCTGCTGCCTTGCGCACTGCCTGCCTGCAACCCGCGCGGCTCCCTAGCAGCTTTTGCAGCCCGTGCGCCGCCTTACTTACCGCACGCCCACTTACATTGCCCTGCACTGCGGCGCTATGGCCTCCCTCAACGTCCTTGAGTTTGATCCTGACGGCCGCCCTATTAAGTTCGAAACCTGGCTGCAGGACCTACAGCTGTTCCTCCTGAGCGACTCTAAGGACGATGTCTCCCTGTTTGACCTCACGTCTGGAGCTCGTCCTGCCCCTGCCGCCTCTGCCGATAGTACGGCTCGCTAGAAATGGCTCACTCGTGACGCTGCCGCTCGCTTAGCTGTTCGTGACCACCTGCCGATAGCCGAACGCAACCACTTTGATTAGACTAAAACGGCCAAAGAACTATACGACGCTGTTGTCGCGCTCTACTCTTCCCCTACCACTGCAGCTCTAGGTCGCCTCATCCTCCCCTACCTCTTTCCCGAGCTGTCCTCTTTCGACATTGTAGACGACCTCATCACCCACCTCCGCACTATGGACGCTTGCTACCGTACAGCCCTCCCCGCCGAGTTTGTCCCCAAGAATGAGCCCCCGATCTACATCACTCTCTACTTTATAGTCACTCGCCTCCCCGACTCTCTTAGCGCAGTCTGGGACACCCTTCTCGCCCTTCGCCCTACAGACCTCTCTATCGACCTGCTCTCGAAGCACCTCCTAGCAGCTGAGACCAACATCGTCGCTGTAGGTGCTGCTCATGGCACTCCCCGCACGCCCTTCTTTGAGGGGTGCTCCCCCTCCCCCCTTGCCCCCTCTATCGCTTCTGCTGCTGCTGTCGACTTCCTTGGTGCTGAGGGATTCGGTGCTGCTTGTGCTCCTAGTGGGAGGCGTCGCAGCGGCAAGGGCAAGGGAGGCAAGGCTGGTGGGGGTGGCGGCGATGGAGGCGGTAATGGTGGAGGCGGTGGAGGCGGTGGAGGTGGCGGAGGTGGCAGTGGGAGTGGTGGCGGGAGTGGGGGAGTCGGTGGCGGCAGCGGCGGGGGTGGCGGTGGCGGTGGTCGTGGTGACAATGGACGTAGTGGGGGCAGTGGTGGTGGTGGTGGCGGGAGTGGTGGTGGCAGCAGCAGTGGTGGGCGGACTGGAGGTGGTCAGTGGCAGTAGCAGCAGCATCAGCGCCAGCGTGAGACCCTCTCGTCCGAGCAGGTTCGTGATTGGTATGCTCAGCGCCGGATGTCTGGGGTTACTGCTTCCTGCCCGTACTTCATTCGCACTGGTGACCGCAAGGGTCAGACATGCGGCAAGCCTAACACCTAGACGATGTCAGAAACTAACGATGTCAGAAACTAACGAGCAGGAATGATTGCATTGACCTCAAACTGAGTACAAGTATAACCCTAATTGGGTTGTACCCCAAATAGGCTACCCCACTACAGCCTACACAACACAAGTAGCATTATAGTTTGACACGTGCTACTGCTACTGTTGGTGGAGGTACTGCTCGGAGTACTGGAGGTGTTGCAGCCTAGCCTCACCGAGCCGCTCTGCTGCTATTACTGCTGCTACTGCTGCTCGTGCTACTGCCTTCCCTCCATACTGCCCTACTGGTCGCACGCCTCCTTACTTGGCCCGCAATAACTTCTCTTCGTGGTACCGGTCGTAGCGGTGACGGCGGTGGTGACAACAGTCAGAGTGGTGGCGGAGCCCGTCGTGGTGGCGGCGCATGTCGTGGCAGTCGCGGTGGAGCTGTTCGGTCCGGAGCTTCTGGCGGTGGCCGTCACCGTCGTCTCTGCCACCGCCTGACTCCGTGCTTCACCAGGTTCTTAGCCTCCCGTCTTCTACTGGCCTCCCGTTACAGCCCGATGCACCACTGCCTGCTCGTTCTTCTTACACTGAGCAGACACACTCGCTTACAAAGCGTCGTGAGCCTGCGTCTCGTCCTGCCTCGCCTGTTCGCGCGCATCACACTGGTTGTCGTGTTCCTCGTGAGCGTCCGCCTCCTGTCCCTAACACGCACGCTATGGCACTTCGTCCTTCCTCTGTTCCACAGCGTGTTCCCCTACCGTCTCCTCCTGCGTCTTATCTGCCTGACATTCAGGACTTTGAGTCTAACGTGGTTCGTGCTGCTCACCCTACTGTCACGCGTCTGCTCGCCACTGTTGTCACTGACCCGTCGTTTGAGTCTGCTGCTGCGTCTGTCTTAGTCTTTGAGCTTGTTGACTTTGCTGCTGCCTGTCGTCTAGACTACGCTGCTATTCATGTTGCCGAGTCTGAGTCTATCAGTCCTCCGTCCGTCGGGGGTGAGTGTGCTTTTGGCATGGACGTCCTTGAGGACAGGCAGGAGGACTTTGAGTGACTTGCAGCTGCTGCGCCTCATCTCGTGGCCATACTGCTTGCCCCTGAGGGAGACCCGGATGCACCAGACATCCCGACTCCGCGTTCTTACGCTGAGGCGATCGCGGGTCCCTACTCCTCTCAGTGGCAGATAGCCATGGACGCAGAGATGGCATCCAGGAAGTCGATGAGGTTCCCCCTCCTGGGGCGAACATCGTCGATGGCATGTGGATTTTCAGGGTGAAGCGGTCGCCGAGTTCTCCGCCTGTCTTCAAGGCTCGTTGCGTTGCACGAGGCTTCAGTTAGCGACAGGGAGTTGACTTCTTCCAGACCTTCTCCCCCACCCCGAAGATGACCACTCTTCGGGTGCTGCTGCACGTTGCCGCTCAGCGTGACTACGAGCTACACTCTCTTGACTTCAGCACAGCGTTCTTACAGGGCAGCCTGCACGAGGAGATCTGGCTGCGCCAACCACCTGGCTTCACTGGGTCGTTCCCTACTCAAACACCAGTGGAGCCTTCGTCGGCCAGTCTACGGTCTTTGTCAGGCGCCTCGTGAGTGGCACGACACACTGAGGACGACACTTGCGGCTCTTGGTTTTGCCCCTTCCACTGCTGACCCGTCGCTGTTTCTACGCACCGACACTTCAGTGCCGCCGTTCTACATCCTTGTGTACGTTGACGACTTGGTCTTTGCCACTGTTGACACTGAGGCTCTCGCCCTTGTGAAGTCGGAGTTGCAGAAGAGACACACGTGCACAGACCTAGGTGAGCTGCGCAATTACCTTGGCTTACAGATCACCAGGGACAGAGCACGCCGCACCATCACCCTGACTCAGTCACACATGGTGCAGCAGATCCTTCAGCGCTTCGGCTTCACTTAGTCCTCGCCACAGTCCACTCCTCTGGCTACAGGTCATTCGTTCTCAGCTCCACCTTTGGACGAGTCCGTAGAGCTGAGTGGCCCGTACCCAGAGCTAGTGGGCTGCCTCATGTACCTGATGACCTGCACTCTCCTGACCTTGCGTACCCTCTTGGCCTTCTGGCATGCTACGTGGCTCCTGGTAGGCACCGAAAGGTGCACATGGATGCTGCAAAGAGGGTACTGCGCTACTTGTGCAGTACATCGGGCATGTGGCTCGTGCTTGGAGGGCGGAGCTCATTTGTCCTCACTGGACACTCAGACGCTTCTTAAGTTGGCGACCTGGCTACGCAGTGATCGTCACAGGGTTACACTTTCAGCCTTGGCTGCGGCTCTGTTTCTTGGCAGTTTACCCGCTCGTCTTCTGTTCTCAGATCCATTTGTGAGGTTGAGATCTATGCCACAGCCATTGCTACACAGGAGTTACGCTGGCTCACCTACCTGCTGACCGACTTGGGAGAGTCGCCTCGTTCTCCTCCAATTCTGTACGTAGACAACAAGGCTGCCATTGCCTTGTGTTAGAAGCACGGACTGGAGCACAGAACGAAGCACATCGCTCTGCGTTACTTCCTGGCTCGAGAGTTGCAGCAGCATGGTCAGCTTTGTCTTGCTCACGTGGCCACTCGGGCCAACACTGCTGATATATTCACCAAGGCACTTCCGTCTGGTGATCATCAGCGCTTCTGTACTATGTTAGGCCTGTTTCATCTCACTTGCTTACCTCTTGACTTTGCGCGTACTATGATCTATATATATACCTGCATGCTTGCTCTTGCTAGGTAGTGATCACTGTACTGTTGTTGTCAAAGTTATATTTAAGATATATCCTGCTTGCTGTAGTTACTGTAGTTATTGTTGTTGGTGGTGCACCTCTTGTTTGTGTTTCTAGACTATATCTTGTATGCTTTGCTTTAGTGAAGCTAACTTGTTTGGTCAATTTCTTTCGACACTCGGCCTTGACCTCGACAATAGCTTGGCCTAGGCTACTAAGCCTAGGCCCTCCTTAAACCCGGTTACCAGCTACGATAGTGTTTTGACATGGTATAGAGCCTAAAAGTTCCTTGTGTCTGCAGTTTTTTATTTCCAATGGGCCCACCAATAGCCTTAGCCATGACCCGCATGCAGCTGCCTCGTCGCGCATGCCAGCGCTCTAGCGAGCTCACTGGCAAGATCGCCAACGGATTCTCCATCGAGCGCGCCAGCGACCCACGAGCAAATCAGCCAGCGGACACCCAGACGGTTTTGTTAATAAGTGAGCCAACGGACCTGCGAGTTTGCCAGAAAACGCGCCAGCGAAAACGCCAGCGAAATCGCCAGCGGCCCGCCAACAAAATCACCACGCACCTGCGACTCCGTCCGTCTCCCCGTTTTTTGTCGCCCCAGCCGCTCCTTCGCCCGCCGTCGCTCTGCCCGTCGCATTCCCCCTGCCCCCTGCCCGTCACCCCCCCCGTCACGACTGTTTGCGTGTGCACCGGCGGTCGCCGTGGGGAGGAGAGGGAGGAGGGGAAGGGAGTGGCAGCGAAATGCTGTGGGGAGGAGAGAGAGGAGGGGAAGGGAGTGGCGGCGGAATGCTGTGCGAGGGAGAGGAAAGGGGGGAAGGGAGTGGCGGCGGCACATCAGCGATGACCGCCAGCGCACCGTCGTTCGCACCAGCGCTCGCGCGCCCTTTGCTGCTGCAGCCCGTCCCCTGCACACCGTCATATCCCGCCCGGCCTCTAGCCCGCTGCCGCTCCTTAGCCCATCACATTACCCGCGCCCCATGCCCGTCCCCCCCCCCCCATGTCGCGGCTGTTCGCGTGTGCAGCGGCGGTCGCTGTGTGGGGGAGAGGGAAACGGGGAAGGGAGTGGCGGCGGATCACTGTGGGGGGGAAGAGGGCAAAGGGGAAGGGAGTGGCGGCGGAACGCCAGCGACGACCGCCAGCGCACCGGCCATCGCACGTCACCTGCTGCTGCAACCCGTCGCCCGTGCGCTGCCCGTTCCTGCAGCCTACCGCTCGCGCCGCCGCCCGCCCGTCCCCTCCTCCTCCCCCCCCCCCCCTCCCCCCCCCCCCCCCCCCCCCCCCCCCCCCCCCCCCCCCCCGTCGCCCCCACCCACGCTCCCGCCAGCTCCAGCCGCGCTTGCGACTGCTACCGTGCTAGCTCGAGGTGGTGGGGGTGGCGGTCAGTGGGGAGGCAGCGGGTGTGGAGGCGGAGGTGGTGGGCTGTTGGGGGAAGGGTAAGTGGGCGCCAAGAAGGATTCTGCAGCCTCAACCGCCTCCTCCTCCTCTCCCTCTCAGTCTCGCATCTGCTACTGTGGGGGGAGGATGAAGGTGTGTGGGAGTGGAACCGCACCCCCATCCGCTGCCACCACATCTCCTCGTTTTCGCTGCCACTACTACTGTTGTGGGAGGGAGGTTCAGGGGGTGTGGGTGGTGAGAGTTCAACTGCAGCATCATCCGCCTCCTCCTCCCATCCCCTGCCGCCCGTGCCTTGCTGTCCACCCGTGCTTCTGCCCGTGTTCCACGTACTTGCCCCACCCGTTTCACCCGTGCTGTCCGTACCCGGTTGTGCCCCACCCGTTTCACCCGTGCTGTCCGTACCCGGTTGTGCCCCACCCGTTTCACCCGTGCTGTCCGTACCCGGTTGTGCCCCACCCGTTTCACCCGTGCGTCCCATGCTTCCCGTGCTGCCCCCGTGTTCCCATGCTGCCCCCGTGCTGCCCTGTTCTGCCTGTGTCGTGCCCGTTTGCGTGCCGTGTTGCCCCGTTCAGCCCTTGTCCTGCCCCGTTCTACCTGTGCTGTCCCGTTGTCCTCGTTCTGTCCTGTTCTGCCCGTGTTGCCCCGTTCAGCCCGTGTCCTGCCCCGTTCATCCAGTGTTCTGCCCTGTTCTGCCCGTGTTCCCCGTTCAGCCCGTGTCCTGCCCCGTTCTGC